GAGGTCTCTTTTGATAAGGAACAAGAAAGTGGTCTACAGTTGATTGTCTTACTCTCTTAATCAAAATTTTTCTAAAATGCGCTAGCACAGTGTTGTTCATTAAATTAATGTCCCTATTAGCCACAACTTTGTTAGGATGGTGCTTCTCGATAAATTCCTGCATATCATTCCATTTTCTGCAAATTTCCTTGATCTCAGCACTGGTGATTTCTTCCCTAGCCTCTTCCTCTGATGAATGCTCTTCTTGTAAGACTTTCATCTGTTCTTCCTGCATGGCAACCACTCTTCTGTCATTAGTTCATTTTGATGGTCTTTCAGCAACTCCTCCACGTCTGCATCATCTACCTCTACTCTCAAACTCTTGCCAATGGACACGATTTCATGCACTACATCAAGAGAGCTCTCTTCAACTTCCTGAAAGTTTCGCTCTGGGACACAAGTTGGCCAAAGTTTCCTCCAGGCTGATTGCAAAGTGTGGTGAGAGACCTCACTCTAGGCTTTGTCAATAAGGTTATACAATGCAGGATGTTAAAATGCTCCTTCCAAAAAGCTCTAAGAGTTAAGTCGGTATCATTGGTAACCTAAAAACACATGGTAAACAGTGCCTTGATATACAGCTTTTTAAAATTGGAAATCACTTGCTGATCCATTGGTTGAAGTAATGGAGTTGTGTTAGGTGGAAGGAATTTGATCTTGATGAAGTCATGTTCACTATCCAAGTCGTCCTCCAAATTTGGTGGATGTGATGGAACGTTATCCATTAAGAGAAGACATCTAAGAGAAAGATCCATTTCCTGAAAATAATTTTAAGCAGTAGGAGCAAACACTTCTGTGAGCCAATCCATGAATAAAGTCCGAGTTACCCATGCCTTACTATTTGCCTTCCGTTGTACAGGCAGTTTGGACTTTATCACAATTTTGCTCTTAAAGGCATCAGGATTTTCAGTGTTGTAGACTAAAAGTGACTTGATTTTGAGGTCACCACTTGCATTAGCACATAATAAAAGAGTGAGTCTGTCCTTCATGGGCTTGTGCCCAGGAAGTGCTTTCTCTTCTTGGGTTATGTATGTTCATCTAGGCATTCTTTTCCAAAAAAGGCCAGTCTCAATGCAATTAAACACTTGATTCCAGACGTATCCTTCACTTTTTATAAACTCTGCAAATTCATCTACAAATGCTTTTGCTGCTTTTTCATCTGAACTTGAAGCCTCCCCGTGTCTTATGACACTGTGAATGCCAGTTCATTGATGAAACCTATCAAACCACTCTCGGCTAGCTTTAAAGTTCTGCCTGTCAGCACTTGTACTGAGTGTTTGAGTCAACAAGTCATTGTATAAATTTTTAGCCTTTTCACAAATTATAGCTTCACTAACACTGTCTACAGCAAGTTGCTTTTCATTGATCCATATTAGCAACAGTTTTTCAACTTCATCTAAAACTTTAGATCTTTGTTTCGATATCACATTCACTCCTTTAGCCACTTTGGCAGCCTTAAATGCATTTTTTTTAAAATAATTGTAGAGATAGTTGATTTTACCACATTATATTTTTTAGTGATGTTAGAAACACGAATGCCATTCTCATATTTTGCAATAATTTCTTTCTTTAATACTACACTAAAACGTTTTCCATTTCCACTGTCACTTTTCTCTTTCTTCGGTGCCATATTGATTAAATATACATTATAAATAACAAAACTAAAAAACTAAGTTTAGCACATTCGAAAAAGCAATGCTTACCTCGCGCACGCCTAAGAGCAACTGAAATTTGTAAGGTTCCAGAACAGCTGGAAACTATTGGGTTGATGCAAAAGTTCATCCCGTTTTTAGCACCAGCTGGCTAAAAACGCAACACTGAAGTATTATTTCCTTCAGATGTGTAAAATTTCGATGTTGTTTGACAAAAGGGATCTCAGCTAGTATTTGAGAACAAAGTTGTGTTACTTAGTTGTGTTTTTAAAATTTTGTTAAGCATTACAAATGGCAAAAAATAAGGAACATTTTCGACATATTATGCTTTTTTATTTCCAAAAAGGCAAGAATGCTTCGCAGACACAAAAAAAAATATGTTCTGTGTATGGTGAGGGAGCCATTGATAATTCCACGTGCCGTAAGTGGTTCAGAAAGTTTCGTGCAAATTTGACACAAAAAGCTGTTAAGTTTGTTATCCGAACTTTGTTTGTTATCTAAGACAAAATTTTTGCAAAATAAAAGTTCACTAACCGATTTGGTCATTAACCATGACATTCGTTAACTAGGTTCCACTGTATAAGCAAACACAAAACTTAGATGAAAATTACCTAGTGTTCGAGTGTTTGTACTATGGCATTTAAAACACAAAAATTTTAAATTTCATTATCAAAAACATATCAGATATATAAGAAGTCTTTAGAATAAACCAAACAAATAGAAAACTTTAAAAAAAAACTGTTCCTTTGCTCTCTTCTAAAGACATGACATATCTCTAAAAATTACTTTATGAAAATTGTCAAATAATAACAAAAAAAAATTATTTGCTACAAGTGTACTGTATGTTAATGATTTTCATAGTGAGAGGTATAAACGTACCGTACCAACCACTAAATTTTCAAATTATTTCTTTCAGTCCTTTAGAGATTATGCATCTGGTTTTTAAACAATTATAAAAACATTTATACAAATCATATTCAGCATTTTTTTGGAAGATAATGTATCTGAGTTTTTAAGTAAATTTTTGATAATAAATGAAACAGAGAATACATATATTAATAATAATAATATAAAATTAAATTCTATACATAAATTTTCTTTAAAAAAATATATACCTACCTCCACTGATAAGAAGATAAATGAATTCTACTTATGCATTTAGGTGGTGGTGGAAAAGTAAATTGTTCAACTTGAGCAAATAATCCTGCTATGCCATATATTACAAAATATTTTAAATAGAATAGCACAGGTAGACTATAACCTAATCCACAGAGTGTCCAACTATCCAGTTTATGCAAAAGACTAGGATAAAATTGCATTGCAGAACAATACAGATAATGTAGAAGAAATTCAACAATCCAGTATGATAAAGCATACCGCAATAACTGGATTATCAGTGAATGTATTCTTTCCTGTGTCCATTTAATACGAGAAGCTGTAATCTACAAAATAAAATTTTATACATATTTATAGTCCCATTGTCAATAATAATATATAAATTTTGGAGTTGCTGAAACTATATTTTGAAATAAAAATAAAAATAATGCAAATTATTAAATGTTCTATCTAATATTCTAGATTACTGTAAAAGTCATAAATATATATTTATTTGAAATTTCTAGTGAACATGAAATAATTAAGTGAAAAAGTGTTTTATATTGTTTTACAATATTAAAAATTGTTTAAAATAAGTATAAAATAAGAACAAAATTAGGTACTTAAATTCTTTAGATATATCCGTATATTTAAAGTGAAATTTCAATCTACAATTAGAGAAAATTAATCATCAAAAACTTGCTAAACAAATTTCAAAAAACATTTTATCCCAATGGCATATATTGTGATCCTAAATTTACATTTATGTGGGAAACAACTTAAGTTATATTAATAAAACTTATGTCTAAGTTATCTTGCAGTTATTATGACACTAGATTACTATATTACATTTTTTTAAGCTATACTTTTTACTTTTTTCATCCTTTATATTGCTATCATACCTGCACATATGCATTCACTTGTAGTTTTCAATGAGAATTTTGACATATGAGCCATCCTAACTTATAAATGAGACAATTGTGTTCTAATTTTTTTAATTTAAGCATATTTCTTGATATTCTATCAATAAAATTAATCATGGAATGTTTGATTTTAATATTTTGGAAGAATTAAAGTTAAAATAGTCTAAAAAAATTTTGTACCAAGAGAAGCAACTTGAATTAGATTTATATTTAAAGCTTCTTTAACAAATATATATATATATATATATATATATANGAAATATATATATATATATATAAAAAAAAAAACTAATCTTATTTCATTTAATCACAAATAAAATATTATCAAATGCACGTAAATGCACACATTGTCCTGCAAAAATTACTAGCATTTTAAACTTTATGGAAAAATTTTGTAAAATAAACAACATAATTTGTTAATGTAAAGCTGGACAATCGGAAACTTTTTTTGCCAATTCTTAACAGTCTAATCCACTCTCCATCCATTACACTTATGAGTTTCTCTGAATTCTGATTTCCGAATAATTATCTGTTTTTATGTCCGAATGGATTAAAACTTACATTGGGCTCCTGCATGATTTTGGAAAATGTTTGTTTGTTTGTTTTGTTAAGTTATGGCAATGCAACACTTGGGCGATCTGCCTTGGGGATGCCTTCCAGGAGGTCTTTTTAAGGGTAACTGGCTCCTATTCAGGCATTACCGAAGTGGAAAAAACCCAGAAAACTCCATGTAACCAGCTCATCATGGCAAGGCACAAACCCACAACCAGACTCCCAGAGTTCAGGGAACAGAACTGTTTGGCCACTGGTAAGCCAATTTTGGAATTTCAATTTGGAATTCAATTCAAAAGCTTTGCTTTTCCTATTGCTATTCATCTTTACTCCTGACAATACACAAGAACGATTCAAATGACCCAGATAAAATAGTTTTGTTTTTAAACACCAGAGAGCAAGCTTCAAGTAAAAAATGTGAAGACAGATGCACTTGTCGGGCTACTTCTCTGCAATAAGTTCTAAATAATTTGTCATTAGAAGTAGGCATTAAGTGCCATTCCTATTAAATTTAATAATTTTTATTAAATTAATTTTTATAAATAATTTAAATTATTCTAGAAGAAAAGAATTAGCCCAGAGCAAGACTCAAACACACAACTCCTTCTTACTGTGCAAATGTGTTGTCAGTTATACTACCTGGACCTCCAAACAAATCTCCTCTTTCAGACATTTAATTATGATTCTTGGTTACTTAAGATGCTAACTGGGGATGCCTTCAGTATCCTCATTCTATAACCACCCACTTAATTTCTGGAAGAGATCAGTCTGGAGGTCTGGGTAGTGTAAATAACAATACATTTGCATGGTAAGGAGTTGTGGGTTTGAGTCCCACTCTGGACCAATTCTTTCCTTCCAAAAAATTCTAAATTATTTATAAAAATTAATTTAATAAGAGATGACACAATGTCTGCTTCTAATGACAAATTATTTAGAAATTAATTAAAAATAATCATGGAGAATTAGCCTAAATTTAATATGGCAGTCGTTAGGCATATTACTTATTAGTTTTATTCTGTCTAAGTTATTATATAATCCAGAAAATTTAACATTTATTATGCAATATTTCACTGTCCTAAAGTGCTTTGATACATAATTTTTTTTTATTAAGAAAAATTATCAGTAAATTTTTCTTTTCTTGAATGATTTAAAATGAAAAACAAAGTAAACATTTCTATATTTTTATACAAAAAATTTACTAATTTTGTTTTAATTTACAAAATATTACAAATCTTAGATTTACCAATAATACAAAACCTAAAAATTTTATATAAGATTCACTTACTCTGATAACCATAAATGTAAACCCCTATCAAAATACCTGTAAATAAATAATAATATTAAATAAACATAATATATAAGAAAACAACTAAGTAAAAATTATGAAACTATTAAATTTAATTCATAATCACATGAAAAAACTGTTAAATTCAATTAAACAATCAATTAAAAATTACAAGGCTATAATTAACCTTAAAATATTTTAAATTTCTGTAATTTTGAAATCGTGTTGGTAATTATTGTTGTCTCCTAAATACTGTAGTACAAACACTCAAACACTGGGCAATTTTCATCTAAGTTTATTCAGTTTAGTTGATATGTGTGCGTATTGTTTACACACGTTTCAGGCTTCTTACACCTCTCTTCAGCCAACTAAATTAAAATTAGAGAATACATACAAATTACAAATTTCAGTATACATATGTTACTGTGAATGACTGATATCTGGCAAAAGTCAACATTCTCCGGTGAATGTCAGCATTCACACAGTTGTTTCGTGTATGTACGAAATATTTGCTAAATATCATTATTTCTCACTT